AAGAAGAAGCCTTCTGAGACTGAATAAGCAAAGTTTCAAAGCGGGACCGTGAATATGATAATATCTCGAAACTGGATTGTTAGAAATATTTATCAATTACTCCTCATGGACAAGTTTTGAACTCAAGTCAATTTAATGTTTTGGCTTTCAAAGCCGGCAATTTTCGCAGCAGCTCATCCAGCCAGAACGCAGCATTGATGATAGGCCATAAGTTGGATTTGGCTAACCATAGTTGTTATCAATCCAATGGCATTAATTAAACTTCATTTCATATTTCATATATATATTGTGGGGCAAGTATTATGGTAAAACTTGAATCTTACATTTCAAACTGTTATTCGCGTAATTTTCAATGCCACCCAGACGTGAAAAATTCGAGAACTCTTTTTCAGAGCATACATAATCAGTCTTTAAGTTCATACGTTGGAATGACTGTGTTGCATACGTCATGATTCGCTGTCTAATAAGCTCAAGGTGAAAATCAAGTTTACTGTTATATTATCTATGGAATTAGTGAGTTTTACACGAGTACTATAACCAAGTCGCAAAAATATTTTACTTGGAACTGACCTATACTTGCTAACTRCCAAACGCCACTCAGATCTTTCAATTCGACGTCTACCTCATTCTTACTAATTTTCGCGAATTTCGCGATTTTAGRAAAAAATGCGACATTTAATACGCGCGGAAAAAAAGATTGCGCGAAATTAATACACTTATTAGTACACTTTTACTCAGATTCATCTTCCAAACCCGAAAATTAATACTCGCGAARTTCGGCCCCTAAATCAGTGTCGCGAACTGTTAGGTACACGAGAAAATTACTAATAAGGTCTATGGCGGCCGTATTCATTTCTGGAGTGTGACACCATGATTGTGGTTGCTAAATTTTCCAATAGGACGTTTGCACGATGGCGTCATTGACCTCCACTACCAGATTCCAGACGTGCGAGCCGAGCGAGCGAGGGCTGTGGAAGTAGAAGACTTGGTCTTGATTCTCGTTCCCAGGATCCTCCTGACGGGGAGTAACGATAACCGAGGAGAACTGGGAACGAGAATGTACGATGATCACGTAAACCACTAGTTATTGTGTACTATCAGGGATTCTATTTCGACCTTTWTTTAACAGCTGCAGTTTGGCCTTGATTACATCCAGAAGATTTGTTTATATTAACCAAACTTTCTGCGTAGTCAAATGTGGGTTTATTTTGAAGATGGGCAAAAGGACTCTCGATATATTCAATGGTTTTTTGCTAAAATTCACATCGTGTTTTGCACGATCCTCTTGTGACCTTTAGGTTTTAACTCATGGAATTACACAGTGGTTTAGTAAAGTCTGGAGCTTGAATGATGAAGAGATATAGTGTTGCCTTTACGATGGAAAAACAGAAATGCGAGATACTTGATGACGATGGCGAAAAAATGGTAAGGTCATTAAGAATAACATTATGCTGACTAGGTTCATATTACATAATTTAACTGCATTGCTAAGTACAATTATTGRTCACAATGATTTCAATAGTTTTCATCCTCACATCAATACTAGCATCAAATATATAACTTAAAAAATTGATAACCAATTAATTTATTCAGGCTTTAGACTTTTATTTATTCACACTTATTTACAATATTGAAATACATAGGAAAGAGATCTACAAATATACAATTGAATTAAAGTAAACCAATTAAATGATATAACAACCATGTTTAGGCATGCATGGCTGTCACAATCATAAATAACGTGAAAGGAGTTATAAGAGGTTATTAAACCCTATCAAGAACATCTTCTGAGATAAAATTGGAACATATTATGATATGTTATAAGTTGATTTTTGGGATTTTTTTGGAATGGAAAGGAGAAGCCGGAAAAAGTCCCTTGATGCACATGTATGTACAGGAAAGAACAAACAAACAACTGGACTACTCAAATAAGATGTACAGTACCAAGCCTGTCAGAACTCGAACATATAACAGAACTAGTCATGCTAGCACTATTGTCTGAGAACCTGTGAAAATCCTGTGAAAAACCTGTGAAAAACCTGTGAAAAATATCTCTGTATTTAAGAAATTTCACAGGTTTTTCACAGGATTTTCACAAGATTTTCACAGGATTTTCACAGGTTCTCAGCCAGTAGTGGCTGGTGAGAGATGACACATTAGCAGAGCATGTTACTGGTGCTTCCTATATTCTTTGTTTGCATGTTAAGCCATCACAGCCATGTTGGTACCCTTTAACAAAAGATTTCTCATTAGCATCCATTGTTAGCGGTACCACAATGGCCACCATGTTTTTGTCTTTTAACTCTCTTGGGAATGCTTGCAACCCATCAATTAGTAGACATTTGATGCAAATAAACCATAATTTTTATCAATATTTCATACATGCTACTGAGYGTACATTGATTGGTCACCTTCACATGTTGAGATAGATCACTCCCTAATAGGGTTTGGTCGTCATGGCTGCATTGAGGATTGCGAGCATCCACTTTTTTTGTGGCCCTTGGGAATATGGCTTGTAATCTAAATTGGATTACTGATATTTATTAATTTCATTTTAAAACTTTTTGATAGGTATGTTATGGCTATTCTATCAGCTACCTGAAGGTGAGGATTCCACATTGATCATGAAAAATGAAAATAAATAATAAAAATGATGGGGTTCTTATATAGYACATTTTCACATTATCTCAATGTTCTTTACATTTAAAGTATGAGCAGTGGAGGACTTTACGGGCTGCATATTAAGGTGCTTATTAGCAGCTGTGCAGCTTACAATCATGATTGATTTGTTAGTACATTAATGTTATGCCTCCAAAATCATGAGGGGAAATATGCACTCATGACTCTGTACTGTGATATCATACACAAACTGGGAGCTGGATAGTATGTATATATTTAGGAGCAGGCTTAGGATTTAAAAAAAAATCATCTTGTGTTKTTCTTTTCTTCTATCAGATATTGCTATTTATATTGCTGGTCGTGTGCTCTGCTGGATTTCTGATATTGGTTTGCTATTGGCGCCCAGACTGGTATTTAAAGCTACGCTATTCGCGATGCACATTACGAGAGGCTCAGTATGTCCTCTTAAAGGTATTTTTGACATATAAATTTTATTACTATTTATTTATTTTGAAGTTTTAGCCATACTTCATTTGTTTTCTTCAGGATCTAGTGTTATTGAATATTTTTTCTTGTAATTTCATTCCATGGCACAAGTGGAATTGTTTTGTTATGAATAGATCTCATTGTTTTTATTGTTTTTAAGAATCTTTTTTTATATAATTCAGACTTTTTCCTCATCTAGTTTGTTAATGTTGAGTGTCAGACATTAATTATTTCTTTTAGACATCCCATCATACCAAGGACGTAGAAGAAGTCAGAACCAAAAGGATAGATGGGCAGGTCAACAAGTAAGTAGGGTTTCATATGATTTTATTGTTTTCCGYTGTGTTGACGGAAGAAACTCAATTAGCCCCCTAAACTCAAATAGCTCCCCCTAAACTCAATTATAGCTCCCTCTCCACTCAGTTAGCCCCCCTAAACTCA